AAAAACATTGCAGACAGTACTTTTCCACTTATTAGTGCCTCGACGAGGGTTTAATGTACATTACGCATACAGGATGATTCAGGAGTGAAAAAGAGAGGGAACGTAAACCGCAAGTAAAAATTAAAAGACCTAGTGAGTAGGAGGCACTGGTACTCTGACTCTTCAACTAGTACTTCCTGTATAATGTATTCCGACAACAGGCTGAATGAACCACTTAACGGTTACTCCACGTCGCTGAGGTAATCCCGGGGATTAAACCGAAAATATACGAAAATCGTCACGAATGAATAATTTCACCGTCGACAGAGCAGCCGAAAATAATTAAACAATGATTAATCCTAATTAATAAATTTCCGTAAATTTATCAAGTGAAACTGCTTTATTCAGCTAATAGCTTTGATACTCAATCAAGGATTAACTCTCTGAATGCAGTAATTTTCTGGATGAATGCGTTATTATTTTGTAGGAAATGAAATGATGTTGCCAAAGATCTGGAAAGTACCTCCAAAATTGAGGCCTCGGCATGCGCCAAATTGAATGATTCCATCAGCTCCGATGGCTTGGGATTCTCTGGAAAATGTCGGGAAAATATTCTCCTGATCCTTTGGAAACTCTGCTAATACAACAACCTCCCCATCGTGTATAGAGGATCGATGGCATCGATATAACGAGCCAGTATACCAGTGGCATCGTTGTATTCTACCCCGAGTTGTTGTGGCGCTTTTACCAAATCCACCCATCCATCAGACCCCACTGTGCTATATGGTATATACAGTATGTACCAATAGATATATCCACAAACACATATAGTCCTTTCTAAACGGTGAGAGCGACGGCAAATAGAAATAAATACCCGTGGCGTTTGGGACAAGATATACTGAGTCAAAAGGGGATGGCAGAAATTTCACCTCTTGTCTCTCTTTACCTGATACAACTGCGCATATATTTCACTCGGCAATTTATTCAATCTTTTTACTCGTCGCAAAGGGAAAACAAATCATTCCACCTCGGGCTGATTATTTCACGTGTTTTTAATCAATCAACACCTTCTCTTCGATAAACAAGACACGGATGGATCGCCAATCATTCAAATATTCCCGCAACTGTGAATGCATCATTTATTTTATTTATTCTTTCAGATAATAAATGTATGCATTGACTGACTCGTTCAGGAATTTCAAACGGGACAATTGATAATTGATAATAATTGACAGTGAGAATGTGATTGAAAATTTAGATCTATAGATTATAGAAAAGTGCAATATTTTATTATCTCAGCCGTAACAATTTAAAAAATTCTGCACTTTCTGGGAATACTTTCGAAAGATGATTTCATCCCCCGAAACATTATAATGATTGAATCGGGGTGGGGCCAACTGTCGGCTATCGTTATCTCGTAATCATTCACAAACTAGAGAGAGTTGACGTGATCTCCCGGGGACTCCTATCAGTGAACTGAGCACCACACATTCACCCCAACCCCCGTTCACCCCACCCCCCATATCCCTTTCTCCTCGTGTCTCCCTCCCACCTGAGTCCCATGAAATCCCCACCCCACACCCATGAAAAAAAAAAAGAAAAAAACCTGACGCGACCATTTTTCACCGTGATTGCCGCAACTTGTACCACTTAGAGTCCAAGAAAAGTGGCTGCGATGAGTTTGAGATGAAAGGGTCCCATCGATAACAATTCATTCCGAAAAAATTCATCCGAACCCTGGAGACGGCATAAAATGTTGGAAATGCCCCCACCCGGACAAAAGGAGGAAAATTCAAGGGTCTTGAAATATTCGTGAATCGTCAATTGGTGGTATGAGCTGGGGCATACAGAGGAGCTCTTTACTGCGTATAAAATCCCCTGGTCTCCCTCATGTGGCTTGGAATGCGGATTATCGACCCTATGCTGTAAAACTTCTCCACGCGTGCCATTTACACAACGCGCACTTTTTGTCGGTTGAAATTAATTCACAACTTTTGTCCTAGTCGAGACCGAGGGAGAGTAATAAAACGACAAAGATAGGAAAAGAGGGAAAGAGGAACACCCCATGGAGACAGCCGCAGATAGGAAAGACTCTGCAGAGACAACCGCACACCGTGTGCTCTAAACTACCCGACTTCTCACATGTACACACTAATGTTGTGTACTTTGGGATATATCCGTGTGGAAATTCTCCTGCTGTCCTAATTGAGAAGACCTCAAGCTCCTCCAGTGCTTTTGGGTTAAACCCTGTCCCTGAGGATAATCAAGTTTGTCCAGAATTTTCCCACCGTCCTCCTCATTCTTCATTACTCATTTACCCGAGTTTTACTATTAAAATGAGCATTAAACTCCTGATTCATGCCTCCCTCAGTTTTATTCAATTGCCCAGAAGATTTCTGTGCCATCCGCAAATTCTTAGAGACATATGAATCCCGGAAAATTAAACTGCTATTCAGACCTCACACCGCTTTATGATTCCTCGTTGGAATGGCGAGACTATTTGGCACGTCAAGGAAAAATCACTGTTTCAATTTTCCCAGAGGATAAGAAATATTTTTAGCCAAGGAAAGGGTTCGGAAAGGATTCAGATGGAAATTGTTTTCAGAAATGCACATATCACTTCTGAATATCGAAAAAATAAGGAAAAAAAGGAAAATCTCTTTTTACCTGTTCTCCTGCTCGAGCGATGATTCTCCATAACGATGAAGTAGATTATTTGGCACGTGCTAGTGACCATTAGCCGGTTGAAAATTTTCCTCAGCTACATGTACTCAATAGGTCGTCGGGCACGTGTGTCCTGGTGATATTAGCAGCCCTTATAGTCGACTCTTTGAGCATAAAAAGGGGCAATAAAACACACGAGACGCATCTGGGTTGTGGGGCATTACAACCCACCGACTTCACTTCTTTATCTGGAGCTCAGAGAGAGTTGGTTGCCTCGTCATCCCTCTCTCACTCTCTGCTATCCCTAAGCGATTTCTCAAACGCTCTGGCTATGTCGTTCCCAGGCTCTTCCTCTGGTCATAAGCCGCAGCTTTCAGCCTTTCCCGGCCCTTTTTTCCTTTTTTTTTTCTTTCCCTTTCATTCTGCGCTCCACTCTCTCCACCCTCTGCTCATAATACCAGCTCAGTTCCCTCTGTGACTGGGCATTTTATTATAACCTAATGATGAAATGAAAAAAGAAAATGATCGAGGTGAAATTGAGATAAGGAAAATTGAAATAATGGGGGTGAGGGGATGATTAGGGTAGCGAGTCAATGAACCTTGATTGCCGTGGCAAAATCAACGTAACAATCTGGCTTTTGAATGGTGCGTCATCTTCGCTGTTTCCATCCTCGAGTTTCTCTCATCCCTCGGGGGAAAGGTTCAGCCCTTCCAGACGCGGTAAAACCGCGACATGCAGTTAGGAGTTATGTATATACTTGGGATTGTAATTAATATATGAGCCTCTGGAGATTGAAGGATTTGGGTGAGGGCTTTGAGCCGATATCCGACGCCTCGAGACCTGCCAACAAATTTTCATTTTAATTAAAGCCCAGGGTGGAAAATGAGGGAATTTCAGTATTTTGTTTTTGCTCGGGAACTCTTGTGATGGAATTCAGTGATTACAGGAAGTCAGGAAATTGATTAATCTGGAAGGGAAGTGGTTCATATTTGAATACCTATTATTTCAGTTAATCTCCCTCGAAAAGCTCCAAGTGGTGAATCGAATGTAGGAGTTTGAGGTTCGAGAGATAGAATAATCGTAGAGTTTGAAATGGACCTTGAATACTTCTCTGTGGAGTTGAAGCCGAAGTTTCAATCTCCAATGATCATAAAAATGCAAGAATGCTGTGGAAGTTCAAATGCTGATTGCCCTGAATTTCCAATTCATTTGAGTTTATTCGGTATTCATAAAAATTCAAGTCACTATTGGAAGTTCAAGCACAGCCAATTAAATGGGGAAAACAATTGGTCGGAGACCCTCAGGCGATGGTCACGAGAAATCCCTTTCATGAACTGAAAACCAATTTCGTACGAAATGAGTTCAAAATGCATTATTATCGAAAAACTCAATTCAAGAGAAATTGGGAATTAATTCAAAATTTAATGACCAATCCAGGGAAAAGCTATTGATGGTAAGTGCGTGCAGAATATCAACCTCTGACTAAATTTAAAGCCTTTATCTTGACTAGGCACTAACTAATAACGCAATTAAAGGAAATCAAGACGAAAATTGTGTCGATCCCAAGTAGGTGAGACAGGATCCTTCATGATTTTTGTGGGATTCATATGAGCTACGTCCCGGCCAAGTATGATTTCGATTTAAAATCACATCCTGCGTTTGTAAATTTATTACAAATAACTTGAATTTATAAATAAAATAAAAAGAGTACCTCTAGAAGGGAGGAGGGAAAGAGTAATCTTGTGCACCTACACAAGTCCCCATTCTAAAAGACGAGGTGACTTCAAGTATATAAATTCAGAAGGTGAACCCCAGGTTGCACGTAGTAAATCAGGAGAATTTTGCAGAGGGTGGTCATTTATCATTTACAATAATATCATATTGCATCTGTGTTCTGGTGATGTACAACACTTTTTTTTCTGCGTAATTGTCCGAGTCGATAATATCTAAAGTGATAATTTCAGTATAACGCGTTGACAGGAATAATGATGATATCTCGCGGTGTAGTGGCCACTCTTGTCTCGAGTTTAATCGCATATATCATGATTGACCTAGCGACAGCGCGAATTGTACTTAGAGAGCGTGTCGCGACCCACGGATTAACCTCCCTTTTAATTAATTAACGGGAATACATGGGCAATGGTGCCGCCACGCGATACACCCATCCTATCTGACTATTTGTGGCGTCCTGAGCAAAACCATTCTGGATTACCTCCATATTGCCCAGGATCTATCCCGCCGGTATCCACATCCGCCAGTTATTCCCCAAGTATTGAGGATTTAACTAATTAATTAATGTTTGAAATTCCAATGATGGAAAAATTCTAATTAATTGGATTTTTTTTTCATGTTCCAGCTTACCGAGCTCGAGCAGAGGGTTCTCGATGCCGAGGGCCGAGCAGACGAGGCTGAGGACAAGGTAAATTGGTTTTTTTTTTCGGATTTTTTTTTATTTTATCGAGAAAATTCTTGTGGCTGGGTATTACCTCGTGGTTTGTCCGGAATTTACCGTCTGGGGAATGCCGGTATCAATGTTCACGATGCGGTTATAGGCCTGGGGGTAGGGAATCACCCTCTATTGATCAGAAGGGTCGAGGGTAGTCGGCGAATTTACCGACTATCGTTAATCGCCTCCACAGGGAGTAATCGAAATTTTTTTTCGTAAATTCTGGAGTCTTTGATTTATTATTTCAATCGATGAAATTTATCGGGCAAAAGAGAATTTTTTTGGGAAATAAATATCAAATGTATACAGTTAGGGGTGATATTACCTGCATTTGTACTTCTGTCAGTTGAAATAGAAGAATCACGATGATAAGCTCCAAAGAGGATTGACTGAAACAGAGGCTCAGTTCTGGGGGTTTGAGTGACCTCAGCAGCATCGTAGTACTGCACCCCAAGAAAGGGAGGGCGCTACACGCAATGGGGGTGTCGTCCCACCCATTTGAAATTTCGAAATTTTTCGAAAAATATCAGGGGAGCATGAAAATCGAGGAGGTATTCACTGAAATTGCAAAATTCGAAATTTTCAAAAAAGTATCAGGGGAGCATGAAAATCGAGGAGGTATTCACTGAAATTGAAAAATTTGAAATTTTCAAAAAAGTATCAGGGGAGCATGAAAATCGAGGAGGTATTCACTGAAATTTGAAAATTTTAAATTTTTGAAAAAGTATCGGGAGAGCATGAGAATTGAGGAAGTATTCAGTGAAATGTGAAAATTCGAAAAATTTTAAAATTTAAAATTTTCAGAAAATAATATTCACCCAGTCGATTGATCCCTCTGACAGCGGGACTGCTACTGAAGCAGTTACCGAGTCGGCTGACGGACAGGCCCCCCACCATTGGGTGCGGCCCCCTCTTTCTCTTGGGGTGAGGTACTACAATGCCGGTGGGGTCACTCAAACCCCCCACTGGGCGGCTCAGTTCTGGAGGGGTACCTCACCCCAAGAGAAAGAGGGGGCCGCACCCAATGGTGGGGTCACTCAAACCCCCCACTGAGCGGCTCAGTTCTGGAGGGGTACCTCACCCCAAGAGAAAGAGGGGGCCGCACCCAACGGTGGGGTGTCTGCCCGTCAGCCGACTCGGTAACTGCTTCAGTAGCAGTCCCGCTGTCAGAGGGACCAAACGATTGGGTGAATTTGATTTTCTGAAAATTTTAAATTTTTCAATTTCAGTGAGTACCTCCTCAATTTTCATGCTCCCCTGATACTTTTTTGAAAATTTCGAATTTTTCAATTTCAGTGAATACCTTTCTCGATTTTTAAGCTACCCTGATACTTTTTTGAAAATTTTAAATTTTTCAATTTCAGTGAATGCCTCCTCGATTTCCATGCTCTCCTGATACTTTTCTGAAAATTTTGAATTTTTAAATTTCAGTCAATAACTCCTCGATTTTCATGCTCCCCTCATACTTTTTTGAAAATTTCGAATTTTTCAATTTCAGTGAATACTTCCTCGATTTTCATGCTCCCCTGATATTTTTCGAAAAATTTCGAAATTTCAAATGGGTGGGACGACACCCCCATTGCGTGTGGCGCCCTCCCTCTCTCTTGGGGTGCAGTACTAATGCCGCTGGGGTCACTCCAACCCCCACAACTGAGCCTCTACTTTAGTCAATCCTCATTGATAATCCCAATGACTTCGGGTGATAGTAATTATACAATTCTTTTTCTAAATGTACTTATTTCTTCAGAGAAGAATTCCCATTCACATTTCAGTACTATAGTAATTGTTAAAAAGCTGCTTCGAGATTCTAAATAACACAACCATTTTCCAAACAATTGCCTGAATTAATTGCCGCGTACTTGTCATTTCCGCTTGGATTTTCCGGAAAATCAATTGCATTAGATCATTTAGTGTCTAAATTTTGGGGTAATGAATAAATTTGCTTTCGCTTTTGATGTTGATTACTAGAAACCCTCAATTTTCGTGGAATTCTTCCCTCACCGACGAGACATCATCATCCCCTCAACGCCACCGAGTTTTTCAAGGCCACCAAAAAGACCGACTCCTAAAAAACGAGGGGTGTTTGATTTCGCGGTGCTCGTTGTTCTGTTTGAATGCGCATGTTAGACTGCGCGTCGTGCATTGATTTTTGCCAACGTGCACACATAATAGTGCCAAGATGGCAGATCGGCAACCCCGGTATCACTATTTTTGTATCAAATACTCGTCACGTGATTTTTTCTGAAAAAAAAAAAGTTGAAAAAAAAATCTGCCATCCTCGAGAACTCGTGCAATGGATATCCGCGACTGAGAGGCTGATCTGACCTGACAGTGATATTCCGTCGGATTGAATTCTCTCAATTCGCGTCATTGAATCTGTTATCTGAGTTTATCCGGAGAAATACATCGTCCAACAGCACCTCAATTATGCACCCCACCAGGTGACACTGATGAAAGGTAATTGCCACAGAAATCCTTATTAACAAAGCAATCGCTTATCGATATCACCACTGTTATTCACGGAGTTGTGAGTTTTATCAATTCTCGCTCGTCATGACCATTTAGTCACCTATCAAATATTTGTGGAGTCGAAGAGTCATTTTGACTCATTCCTCAAGTGCCGCTGTCATTCTTTCTTTCTGTTATTATTGAACGTGCGCATAAAAGTGTGATGAATAAAAAAGAAATGAATGAAGGAATGGGGGCAGTGATACTGGGGAAACACTGGAACGTATCCTTTGTGTTGGACAAATACTGAGGCTTCTGATGATTCCTCTGCTGGCGCCAGTATTTTCCCAGTTTTAGAACACGTTGAGGGTGTCATATTGTCATGGTGGCGGTGCGGTTGTACTTTATTTGTCTATCATCAGTTATGTTAGTGCTGGCTTTCCATATATCGTGAACTGGCCAACTGCCAAATCTTGTGAGTAATCTATGGAGTGACTCTTACTCCTCTCACTTCGTTTGTACTCCCTTCATGGTTTTTTCTTTGAGGAGGAAAAAAATAACATGAATAATGTATACATCTGTCAATCATTCTATTCACAGAGAGAACAATAATCCACGGGGGAGAATTGTTTTTCTTGACTTGAAAGAATTTTTATCATTCCTCTGTTTTTATAATTATATTTATTTCAGCTTCGAGTTATGAGTTTCAATAGTTCTCCGATTTATAGTATTTATCGCCCTTTTTCCATTTTACTACCGAAGTATTAATTAATTATCAAAATATAAATTATGGGAAGAATTTATTTATTTATTTATTCTGTGCCGTATGCAAATGGATTTGAGTAAATGAAAAATCGGAAAACGATTGATCTAAAAATAATATTTGGGTTCCTGAGGTCAGAAATAGTCATACTGACACAAAAAAAAATGGAAATCTTGGATTTGACAGATCCAATGCTTTCATTTAGAACCAAAAATAGAATAAAATTATGGGAAAAAATCTTCAAATGCCACATACGTTGTTTCAAAAAATAGAGAAGTGGAAAATTTAGCATAAAATTAAATGCTGACAGTAGTCTCCCCTCTGGTTGAGCAATGGGCAGTATTGGAGTGTTTGTAAGGGTCGTGCACTTTTACTCCCCTCTGGGAACACCACGATGCGTTGCGTTGGCCACGAGCCAAAGTGACTCACCGAGTCTCAGAAACCCCCACAGCTTTCAGTTCGATCTCGAATCTCGATGTAAACGCAACACACACAAGTCCCTGCTCCCCCATTACTTTTCTCTCCTGATTGCTTAATTTCCTCGTCTCGCCAGCTCGCAGCACCGAGTGTTAAGTTACCCTTCGAGTACCAATCCAGTACCTATCAACACCGCAACCTGTCAACACTGAATTATCGGAAAAACTAAGTGATAAAGAATAAGTCATCATGGCCTCCATCTTTTGTGGTAAGAGTGTTCTTCCAAATGTGGGGGGTGGAGGGTTTTTTTTTTACTGACGTTAATTAGCGGCTTTCAACTTCTGTTTCCCGGTTTTGAGATTAGTCGCGCTCTTTGTACTATTGGCATTTAAAAACACGCGGGTTGTTGGAAGAATTAGCTGGGGGTGTGGGCTAAGATTAGCCAGTTCAATTCTATCCCTGTGGCTGATATTGATTCTTTGGATGAGACGCCAGTGAGGAGAACCCTCCCCGATGTCCGCAATTGTACTTGCATGCATTACTAGTCCATATGAGCAATATCGATTTTTGACAGCTGCCCCCATGCGACCACTGAACCCGAAGGGGTACCAACCACGGGGGGGTGTCACCCGTGTTTTATTGGGTGACTCCGTTACCATGATTTTCAGGGGCTATTTTGGCATTGAGGGAATCCATGTGTTTTGAAATAAATTAAATCGAACAATAGATCTGATATTCATTTATTACATCCAAAAAGTTAAGTCTATTGCATTATTCGGATTGATTTGTCATTCAAGGATATTTTTAAAAAATTATAACATACGGCATGCATCAGCTGGGTTCGGTGACTCGGTATCCGGTTTACCTTGTATAGCAGATATTATAAGTTTATATTATTCATAATTAATAAGGTATTTACTATGTCGTTGAATTGAGAGAACTTCAAGAATGTTAATTAAATGAAAGCGTAATGGTTCACGTCGGTCTTTGAAGGTGATCAAGTCATTTATGGAGGAATTATGGTGGGAATAAATGTTTTATTTGATTTTTGTTTAGGTACGGATGATGGAGGAACGGCTGGTGAAGGGTGAATACAGCCTGAGCACATCTGGAGTAGGTTCCCCGGCACATTCGTTGGCATCCACCTCCGGTACCCAGAATGATAAAATTGAGGATGTGCATTGTGCCTGCATATCGAAATTAGAAACACAAGTGGAGGAACAGGTGAGACGAACGATTTCTTGAAGATTATTGTCTCAAATTTTTTTTAATTCGTCAAAAGTAGTTGCGCATTATGATATTAATTATATTTCCAGAGACAACTGCGACTTCATGATGCGAGACAAGTCGAGGCAAAGGCAGCACGAATAAAGGAGTGGGTTACGAACAAACTACGTGAGCTTGAACAGCAGAATCAACATTTGCGGGAGCAAAATAACAAGTGCAATCAGCAACTGGAGCTTCTGCGTAATCACATTACAAACATTGGTCTCCGGTCTCTGGTACGGCCATTGGTAATTCTCTTGAGCTATATTCAATAGAAAAACAAGTAGAAAACAAATGATAAAACGCCTCAATTCCCCAGATACCAACAGCAAGAGCATCTCTCTCATTGGAGGTCGATCCAACAGTACGTCGACGCTCTGAGAGTCTCGAGGGGACCCCCCAGACGGTTCCAGAGAACGTTAATCAAACTACTGTCAGTGATTTGCCACCAATTGGATCACGGCACAGGAGACACCTGTCAGCCTGTGGAACCATTCAGCAGGGCATTATTACAACCAACATGGAATCTAGGTAATTCCCAATATTTCGTCCAACGCTTGTAGATGCTTCCTGTCTCGATCGAACCATTTAAATCACAAAATCATTCGTTGGATTCTCCTTGGGAGGTCTTGCGACGTGATAGTGGCTCCCGATTTCAAGACTGTGGTACCCTGTAACGTCCTGGGACTTCCTGAGGGGATAAAAACTCGTTCCCATCATTTCATTTCCACAATCAAACCTCTTAAAACCTTCGAAGTACTCAGAACTCGTTAAATCCTTAAACTATAGATCATTAGCGTAACTTTAAAGATTAAACTTTGGAATTAGATCTCATGGTTTCATCAATTGAAATTTTCAGCTTATAACCGAATGAAATTTTCGTATGTAAACGATAAAATAGCAATCAATGAGTTGTCATTGTAATGATTGTTATTTTTGATTTTGCGAACAAATTCTAGTCTGTTGTCGGAGGAGTTGGCAGCGGCTGTGGAGAATCTCGTGATGCTGCCCAGTATACCGGGGGTGTCGGAGGCAAATCGTGACAGCGGAAGTTCGGAGACATTGCATGATTATGCGGAGATTTATACACCTAGCAGGGAAGGAATGAATTGGGCTGGACAACCGTCATCATCAGCTCCCAGGCCGCCTACACCTCCTCTTCACAGATTTCCCAGTTGGGAGGCTAAAATTTATCAGGTACATTCGCAATCATGCAGTTCTCTTCATGTTTTTCTTCATGTTCTTCTTCATGTTCAAGGAGAGTTGTGAATAAAGAGTTGAATCAATTGATTATTAATCAGGTGGCAGATGGAGGTTTGGGTATTGGCCCCCCAACAAACGACGATGCCTCAGTGGCCCCTTCATCGACCACCAATACAAATTCCTCGAAACATTCTCACGCAACTGGTCACAATCTAACCGCACACAATTCCCAAGGCTACTGTGATATATCTGTACCAGTCTACGCCACTGTGAAGGGTCGTGCAAGCCAGATAAGATCAATGCCCTTTGGTGACAGTTCAGACGACAGTTCAGACGGTGAAGATCATCCAAATCAAACCGAAACCAACACGAGGATAACAAACAGTTCCTCCGACAACACTGATTCGTCCCTAGGAAGTGGTAGTAGCCCCTCTAAAAGCATAAAAACCACCAGCAGCTTGAGTCCAGCCAAGAGAAGCTCCAGTGGTTCTCCGAGTAAAAGTGTTAAACGTGGTGAGTCCTAAACAATTAACGAAAATTATCAAAACTGAATAACAAAAATTTACGTTCAATTCTCCGTAGATACTTCTCTTGAATCCGGCTTGTCGGAGGACTATGCTATTCCCCCAGACGCACTCAGCTCTACTTCCCTGGAGTCCAGTATGCCGAGTTTGCTTATGAGAGTCGCAGGCGAGAGCCCAAAGAGACTAGAATCTCTTGAGAAGACAGGGCACTTAGCAAAACTGGGGGGTAAGCTGAAAACTTGGAGAAAGAGGTGGTTCGTTTTGAAAAACGGTGTGTTGGTTTACTGGAAGAGTCAGAATGACGTGAATAGAAAGCCCCAGGGCCAGATTCTCCTCGACGAAGTTTGCAGGATAAACAGGGCTGAGGGTGCAGCTACTTTTGAGATAGCAACGGGAAAGAAAACCTACTACTTGACAGCTGACTGCATAGCAACCATGGAGGACTGGATACGAGTTCTGCAGAATGTTCAGAGGCGAAATGCCACTAAATTGCTGCTGAGTAGAGAGGACAATAAGCCGACGATTCAGGGATGGCTGACTAAAGTGAAGAATGGGCATGCCAAAAAGTGCTGGTGTGTTCTAATTGGCAAGATGTTTCTCTATTTCAAATGTCCCAGTGATACTAATCCAATTGGCCAGATCAACATGAGGGATGCTAGGGTGGAGGAGGTGGAACATGTCTCGGACAGTGACAGCGAGGAAAGGGATGCGGAGTGCCCACATGAGAGGACCATTGGCATTTTTCCAACTCATCAAGGTCCAACTTACTTGCTGATGCCTCAAAAACAGGAGAAGGACAATTGGCTTTACCATTTGACTGTCGTCTCAGGGGGTGGACCCAATGCTGGGACACAGTATGAACAGCTCGTTCAGAGGCTCATGGAGACTGATGGCGATCCCAGCTGTGTTCTCTGGAGGCATCCACTTCTGTTGCATACTAAGGAAAACATTACTAGTCCCCTCACAAGTCTCACTTCTGAGGCGTTGCAGTCTGAAGCCATTAAGTTATTTAAGGTGAGTTGTCAGAATTTTTAATCGATCATCAGATCAAAAATTAGTGAGAGCGTGGATATTGAGGTTATTATTTGTTTCAGGCGTGTCAGCTATTCATGTCTGTAGCTGTTGAACAAGCTGGTATCGATTATCACGTTGTACTTGCCCAAAATGCTCTACAGCAGTGTCTCGATCAACCTGAATTGCAATCTGAGTTCATTTGTGCACTTGTCAAACAGACGAGTCGTCATACCCAGCAACGTTTAGGCGTACAGGTAAAAAAGGCCGCCAGAATTGTCTCGCTGGGTACTGCGCGTGTTGTAAGTCTTGCTTATTGTTTAACAAAACTCATTTCGTGTACCATTTCCCATTTTCTCCATCGACATTTTTTTTTATTATCGTTCCTTCATTATTTGAATTATCATGTATCGAATTTAAATCACGAGAAATTGATTGGAATAATGGTACATGAAACATATTTGGTCAAGTATTCCGCCATGAGAGTTGTAATTATGGAAAATCTGAGGAGAACAACTAACATTTTCTTATTCAGTACTCGATATTAACTGTGCGTTTTCTATCAGTAGTTTAACATCAATTTTCATTCGGTGGCAGACGATCAAGTTCATTTATTTTTTGCGATACTTGGCTAACGAATACTTGACTGAGTTGACAAGAAAAATTTTAAGTTCTCACAGTCATCCACATTTTTATTATTATTTGCTGCTTTGAATGCGCTAATTCGTGCGCCTCATACTGCATGTCACGTTTGCGTGTCTCTGTCACAAGTGTCACAGCTCGATTTATCCGAGTTTTTCTTTATTTAATCACAATACATCTAATGATCATTATGCGACAATATCATTGACCCCGACGTCCCTCACTGTGAGACGAACGTAGTTTGGAAAATTCTCGAGTCGACCTCTCATTTTCCAGGATAAATTAATTTCAATAAATCACTTACTCATTGAAATTCATTTCATACCCAAAATTCGTTCGATCTCACTCACACACTTGCAGAATGGTATGTTGGTGTACATGAAAAAAAATATATATCCTAAAACACACAGAACAAACTGTTTTTGTTAGAATCAACTTTCTGCCTTTGATTAGTTCATATTTTGCAATATCTAGATCTTTAAATTTGTTTTCCATCTGAATTTACCTATTTTCTTTCCTTAATTTATCGTATGCCGCTTAGACTTCGATATAATATAGTACATGATGAGAGGAAAATTTTGAAATGGTAAAATCGGCGTAGAGGGCAAATTAAATTGAGGTAGATTGAAATACGAATCGAGTTGCGCCTCCTGCTGCTTCAATTACCATGGATGGACCCCAACTGCGCAAGTGAAGATTTTATTCATTGAGAATTTCTCACCCGAAGCTTTGCCATCTACAATTCATATCTCCGCAATGGGCTCCAGGCATTATCATCCATTAAATCCATTGTTTTATTAATTCACTGTAATTAACAAATCAGGATTTCATTTTATTTTTCAATTCCGATTGTACCCCCGCAATTCACACACTAACTTGAGATTCGTCCGAGCAGAGTGTTGGGTTACAACTGAAGGTATTTAATAATTTTCATCTTCAAAAATATTGTCCTTATCGCAGAGATGATTTGAGTTGTATATAAATTGTCCCTTTCCCTTTTACATGAACTAATGCATTTGCTGAATTAAACATTCCTGAATTAATTCGTGATTATTAATTGAGGGGCAATGACGGATAATGTAGAATTGGGAGCTTTCATAGGCGTTAATAAACAGTTTAATAATCCCTTAAATGGGTACTGTGCAATGGTAATCATTTAGTTAGCTTAGCTACGCGATGAACAGGAAAATCAAAAGTTGAAATAGACTGTGAATATTCAAAGTGCACGGACTCAGTAGTACGCCAGCATACCATATTGCAGCAACTCCTCCTCTGTGCGACCCAATCGCTCTTCACCTGCGATACGCAAAGCCCCACGTCAAATGGCGCTGGTGAAAATGCGGATGCACAGTCAACGGCATCAACATCTCACAGTCCTACGCTCACGCAGGGCCACTCCACCTCGAACATCCTCGATTGCAAGACAAATCCCGCCCAGTATGTCTTGGTCCAGGGATGGCAGCTCCTGGCGCTCGCCGTTTCGCTGTTTCTACCCAGGAATAATCGATTACTTTGGTACCTGAAGCTTCATCTCCAAAGAAATGCAGATTCCAAGTAAGAATTTTAATTATTCTATCTGTCCAATTCATCTCTATAGATTTCATGTATTTATAAATAGTATAATGATTGGCTTCACTGAAAAATTTCGTGTATAGAACGGAATGTGGGAAGTACGCAGCTTATTGCGAGCGAGCGTTGGAGAGAACTTTGCAAAACGGTGGAAGGGAGGTAAAACCATCGAGAATGGAGGTCTTGTCAATTCTTTTGAAGAACCCGTACCACCACTCCCTTCCCCACGCAATTCCGGTGCACTTTCTCAATGGAACGTATCAAGTGGTGAGTTTCGACGGTAGCACCACCATCGAGGAATTCCTCCACACGTTGAACCAGGAGATTGGCTGTCGAGACGTGCACCAATCTGGTTTCACTCTATTCAGTGACGATCCCATTGAAAAAGACCTAGAGCACTTCATAGACCTTCAGGCGAAGCTCTGCGACATCATATCTAAGTGGGAGACAGCACTGAGGGAGAAGGGCTCTGGAAAATTCGAGAATACGAGGGTCATACAGCTGACGTACAAGTCGAGATGCTACTGGAAGGCTGCAGCCAAAATGGAGACGGATCGTGAGAGACTCCTTCTATGCTATCAGGTCAATCAGCAAGTGGTGCAGGGAAAATTTCCCCTGAATCGCGAGCTGGCGTTCGAACTGGCTTCCCTGATGGCACAGATTGATTTCGGCGAATACAACAATGATAAAGCACGAGGCAGTGGACAGGGCAGCAATCCCAATCATCTGGTGTTGCAGGCACTCGATAAATTCTACCCGGTCAGATATCGATCTAATATCACACCCGATCAGCTGAGGGAGTTGCAGGAAAAATTACAGGAGAAGTGGGTGGGACTCAAGGGGAGGAGTGTCCTTGATTGCGTGAGGATTTATTTGACATGCACGAGGAAGTGGCCGTTCTTCGGAGCTACTCTCTATCAAGCTAAAGTGAGTACATTAGATTATTATTCTTCGATTTTTCCTTCAAACCTAGCATGCGAGCCATTAGCTATAAGATAATTCACGGCGTCCTCAGAATTGAATCTTAATGATGGTGTTTTTTACTGCAGCTCAAGCAGTCTGAATCAATCACTCTCTGGATCGCCGTATCCGAGGACAGCGTGACTCTCCTCGAACTGCAGACAATGGCAGTGATGTATCGATACAATTACGCCAATATTGTGACCTTCGGCGGATGCCTGGATGACTTCATGCTAGTTGCTTGCCCGGACGAGGGTGCGGCCGAACAAAAATTATTATTCGCACTTAGTAAACCCAAAGTAAGTGTCTCAACGCTCGTAATTAATCCGATCCTGATTAACAGCATCCATTAATGTGAATTATTTCTTCAGATACTTGAGATAACGCTTTTGATAGCTGACTACATGAATGCCTTGGGTCACGCCTTACCTGGAACCCCTCAGATGAATACTCTCACGCGAAATGGATCCCACAGATCTGTAAAATCCACCATGAGACCTACTACTGGTAAATTTATCATAATCAAAGACGTACAAAGATTCAATTATTCGTTTGGAATGCGGAGTGCTAAAATATTTTTACAGGTTCCAGTTGTCTTCCAACGCAACCTGATATTCTAAAATCAACACCAGACCACCAGAGGCCATGAACTTTGTTTTCTCGTGTTAACTCTCTGAAGAACACGATATAAACAACGAACAAAAACAATTACTCAACATGGCACTAATTCAGTGATACGAATAAAGGTACTAAGAATAGGGATTCAACGCGATGGGAAACACTGCCTAATAAATAAGTAGTAGACCTCTGGCAAAAGCAGATAGTAGGAATGATAAAAAATTGCAACAAAGAAGATTCTTGCTGCTATCGCATGTAAATATTTCATTGACGTCGTGAAAAGAATCATAATCCATCGTGCAGTATTTAAAACAAATATAACGCGGATATTTAGGTTTTAATTATCGGATGTAAATAATTGACTGTCGTATTAATGGGTGTGTAGAGGGTGGGATAATAGGTCGAGGGGAGGATGCAGGACATTCGTATAATGGTTTTCTTGCCGAGTATCAATGCAATACCACTCGATTTTATCATTATTTCGAGTAAGAGGAAACAAATTGAGGGTGGAATACCTTGGTATCCACCCCTAATTGGTATCGATATCTTCTCTACATTTTCTTGGGATTAATTTTCTTTAGAGTTTCATGAAAATCATCTGTTATTCTCTTTTCTTCATATCAAGAATAGAATTAATGAATTCCTGTTATTTAACGATATTTAATCCCAAAAAAACATTCGATGTTGTGTAACGACATTTGAATTAAAAAAACGTAGAATTGTTTTCTGAACACGCAGAGAGGATACACAAAGTGCTCGAGATACTTCGCGGAAATAAACAAAGATAAGAGAATGAAGATGAAAATGATCGTGCCACCAATGCAATTAAAAAATGGCGAAGTTACATTTTCACTGAGGGAAAAAAATAGTCAATTGTTCGTCAGTGAAATAAGAAAAAAAAACAGTTCGTAGCCATAAAATGATATTGTAGTTTTATACTTTAATATTAATTAATCCAGGGGTAATGTAAAGTAAACATCACGAATGATTTCTCATTGTTAATTGTAGCTTCTATTTTATGAGTTGTAAGTATTTAAAGAAAACTCGATGATATTGTAACAAAAAAAACTAGTCTCTACTCGTCGCGCATTTGCAACTATTGTTTTATCGTTTTTAAATTGAATAATTTTGTTGAGTGAATACCAGAGCCATTTGTGTGATTTTTCCGTGTTCGAGAAATGATAAAATAGAAAATAATTGTGCTTTCTCAATCAGTGCGATCCTATAAATCTGGTGGATGTCTTCCTTTTAATCATATATGAATGAATAATATAAATCGTACTGAATGAAGCTGTTATAGGATCGACGAACAATTCAATTAAAAAATTTAATAATCATGAGCAAAACCATTTAATCCATTGGGAACAGTACAAACTATTGATCGCATGGAATGACTATTGTTCACCGACTTTTATACACGATTAAATCATTTTTCTATTTCATCTCATGTCATCAGAATACTTTACAACGGTAGCTAATTACACGCGGAAAAACTCCATGAATTGTACTTGTAAAAATTTGTTAGGTTTACGATAACGATTGTTTGTAGAGAGGAAAAAAGGGAGCAGAAGCGATAATCTCTCACACGATAGCTCACTCGAAAATTCATACCGAAATAACTATTTGTACATCTTCATTTATTAATTTATTATTTATTACACGAAGACAGGAGAAGGGGCGAATCATAAACGCACGATTTATGAAGGTACGATTTATCAAGTATTGTACTATTGTACAAATCAGTAAAAAAAAAAAAATAAACTATGTTCCATTCTGAATGCATCTTCCTTTATTGACTAATTAAAAATCCGCAACAATATCCTCTTCTTCCCTTTTTGTACATTTTTGTACGGAATAGTAATTATAATTATTTTTCGTCCCTGATGATAATTTAAAATGCATTCCGCTTACTTGTGTACAATCTGTCACACGTGTTTAATTCCTAAACACTCGCATATACCATTGCGATGTGTTAACAAAGGCTTAATTTTCCATAGTCGACGCAGAGTCTATTGCCGATTCATTTACTCCGAAAGAGCGGCTTCAACAGGTACAGTTATATCAAATAAGGGGGAAAAATATTACCGTGATTACTTGTGATGAGAACAATGAAAAGAATTTACCAGAGATACGAGCGAAGCGTGAGTTTCATCTTGAGGAGATAAAAGGTCTGTGCTTGAATTTCCGTAACTACTTTGAATAATATTAATTTTTCCTCACAACGTACCAGTTCCGATTGATTTGTACGGTAAATAGGGAATTTTTAAAAACGTAATTCCGTCAAATGTCAATGAATCGGTAAAATTCGATAAAAAATTTCAGCATGTGCTTTGAATAATTCTGTGACAGGTCGGGGGTAGTTTAATTAATCGATTCCGTCTGGCTTTCGAACCGGAGATGATGTGGAATTTTTACTAGACACACTTGTCGTTTTTTCATCTGTACTATTAAATTACTTGTGGAAGTATGGAATGAGCTGAGTCAGAAGCTGATCATCGTCTGTTTCTACTAGGCTCGTCGATTCCTGGAGGTTCCCTCATCCCTAATGCCCTTGATTCCTAAAAATCAAGACGACATCAATCCCCAGCTGTTCTTCCTCATCCCACAAAAATCAATCGTCGAATTTTTCTAAATTCCCAAGATTAAGACTACCCGCTGCGTCAAGAGTGCCTGTTCTCCCGAATCACGTGAAAAAGCCAAACTGTGGTCAGACAATTTGTAAATCGTGTCACCTCTAATACAGACTGAAGACTTCTTGACAGAGGAATAAATTCTCTCACTAGATTGATACTCTCCCCAATCCCCAAACTATTTAAATTCCACTCCCCGTGCATTGAACAAAAAATTAATCCGAAAATTTACCGTTCATCGCAGACAGCGAGGTGCAACTGGATTGAAAATAAATGGAATGGATTGTGGGTCATTTAAATTGATGAAAAAAGTGTTGTCTGGGGAGAAATCGAAAAGAGGGAGAGACAGCAGAAGAGTTGAATCGAGAGGAGGGCTTTCGGGGATGCGCGTGAGGACCAACAAGGGACTATAAGAGGGCGACGAGCGTCGCGACGCATCATTCGTCCCCCAGAAGTGATCAGAACCGATAATTCGATTCATCCCCCTTTGATTAGTTAGTGAGAAAATAAGAATATGACCAGTTACCTGTGTCTTATGGTGGTTGTTTGCACCCTGGGGTGCGCAAACTCCAAGATAATACCACCCGATCAGCAAACACAATTTCAGCAACAGGTAAGACTTCGTTTAAATCAGAAGAAATCAATGAAATAATTATTGCTCTTATCAAACCCGTGTTAATGCTTTACATATTTCATCTGTGATCTTTTTCCTCCGAAATCAAAACCGATAGATTAATATTTTCAATCCTTGTCTTTTACCTTTGAGTTTTTTCAGGACTCGGTCGATTGTTCTTTTATGATTTCATATAACTTTATATATTTTCAGGTGTTATGTACAATGAAATAAGGGCAATCGCTGTGTAATACATTCTCTTAAGCTGGTTAATAGTACCTTTCCCCCGAATTTTAAAAATTGATGAATAAATAATTTTCAAGGTATTCAATATTTAATGTTAAATAGTATTTAATGATAAACCATGGCGAAATTTACTATCGAATTAAATAAGATTTCCAATTCGGTTATTGTATTTTCCTCAATGACTGGTATATCGGAGAAAATGCAATTCCAGGTGTGGGACAGCGAATAGTCTATTATAGCCGCGTTATCTAATAATGAACACAGTACCTATTCAATTACTCAACTTCATTGTAGTAACAACTGCTGGTGCACAATGTATTCTCTGACAATATTTCTACGTTTTCTTTGGCTCTGCGGGAAATAAAATTTTTATAGAAAAAATCAATCGGCCGGCAAATCCGATCGAGAATTTCTCAAGTTGATGCTGCACTTGAACAGAAACACGGACTTATCGAAATCGATCCAGTGAATTTCACAGCAGTTGCTCAGGAGAGTTTACTGTCCATCTGCATTACTCCATGATCACCACGTGCTATGTAATTTCCCTCTGCCAATAAACTCCCGTTATCTCGCTCCAGGCTCTCGTTCCTCTCACCACAACTCTTCGTATCAATTCCGGTTAATCGATCCTCCGAGCTACTGCAAATATCACATACGGATATTTCATACATCGATAACGCATCGATACACCTGATACTCCAATTATTTTTCAGATGCCGTATCAATTCATGAAGGGCGCCGACTTCGATGGATACAATATCAAGGAGATTGCCAGTGTTTTTCCTCAAGTCATTCCAATTTCAGGTGACTAGGTGTTTTTCTGAATGCTTCATCATTTTCCGGAATCAATCATCCCCGAAATAGGGGTCGAATTAATTGTCACATCTCTCGTATCTTTTATGTCACGCTAAGCAAAAAATGAGAGGATCTCAATAAATTATAGGAAACTGAAACTTTCCGATTGAAAGTGTTGCATCGTTCGATTTTTTTTTAAGTGCACAATTTATAATGTTTAAATGAGTAAGTTTCTGTTTGAAAGTTTATATATAATTCTTTGATTGCTGCATAGGAATCGTACCACTCGAAATTTCCGATTATTTGGGTCAAGACGACCTATCTTCTGGTAGGAAATAGGAAAATTAAAATTTTCGGAAAATCTCTATGTGTATGCATCGATCTATGTGAGCAAAAAAATTTTAGACGATCACTCGAAAAATAATTGCTCATTCAACCAACGCTTAATAATTCGATTCACTGTACTTGAGAATGAGTGCTCCAGTAGATTCATCCCCCTTAATCCAATGATCGAAGACCGAAGTCTATGAAATATGAATACCTTAGGAAAAATCCTGTGGCATTCGACGTGAATTTCACAGGTGGGAGAGCACGATCTTGAATCCCACGTACTCTCAATTGCATCTCATCCGAATTCACCCCATAAAAGCACTTGCTTCTACATTGGAGACGTTGCTCATGTCCTTGGTGAACGTTTCACTCTGAATACATTGTATCTAACCTATGAAAATTATTATCTCAACCTAAATTCAAATGCCTGTAGATTGCATATTCATGACGTCAGAGACTGGAAGATTCACTTATCAATCGATGAACGACGAAGCAACGGTTTGCGGTGTCTACTTCGTCACAGACCCTGACAAAATTCTGGAATTGAATTTTCTGTCCTTCGACGTACCCTGTGAAAAAGACGCCCTTGTTTCGGTAAAATTCAATTTATTAATGCCACCCAAATTTTTTTCTCCGTTCACTTTAATACAATCATAACAATTTCTTGTCATAACTTCGGTAATCTTTTTGTAATAGGTCGTCGATGGTTGGGAATTGAACGGCGAACTTTTCCCGTCACCGACGGATCATCCGATCCCGTTGAACGAGCGGTTCGACGAGTTTTGCGGTGATTACGCATCGAAAACTTACGTCAGTACCCAGAATGCCGCCCTGATACAGTACAGAATACCCATGAAGGGCAAGGGTTTCTCGGTTTTTGTGAGAAGCCACAGAAATCCAATTCGTAAGTGCTCTTGTTATTACTCAATTGCGGCAACATTCATTCAATAAATTTGACAAATTTCCAGCAATTCTTAAATGTGAGAAGATAATTACCCGTAATTATCTAGTCATATTGACTAATGAATGAAATATTTACAGCCTGCAATGTCCTAGCTAACAGTGAAACTGATGCATTCACTCTCCGGAATTACGGACAGCAACTTAATTGCACCCTGACGGCCATTTATCCGTCGGTGGTGAGGGTCATAGCCCTTGATGTTGGTGGCCGGAGAACGAGACCACCAATCAGACAAATGGAGACTGGCACTTTTCACAAAGTACATTTTTTCACGTCACCGTCATATCTCTAAATATTAATTCATTAAGTGAATTACCACAGCGATGGCCGATAAAAATTTCCTCGACAATTGAAAATACGAATTAACCGAATTCAATGTTTCGATTGTCAATTGGAAAAACGCGTTATTGTTGTATCCGAAATAAAAACCCGAATTCGCAAATAGAGATTTATGCTCTAGCAGTGACGTTTTTTTACAATTGAAATTGCTCTGGTTGTTTTTGGGAAAGCGGTGGATGAGCTCGTAATTGAAATTCACAATTGCGAGTGATATTTATTTTTGTTTTTTACAGTGTAATAGACGCGGTTTACCAGATCATGTTGAAATTGGAGGCAACACGGGACTGGACACATCGAGAATGGAAGTCATTGATTCTATATGCGGCGTTGATTCAGAACCCGGTGAAAAAAATAACATAAATAATAAACAGTTGCTATTTCATTGAAATTAATTTCAGTTCCATTCACCTAATTAATCTTCCCCGCGATAGTAATCACCGATTCTCAGCCGTTAATATTCAAATCCCCTCTGAATTCATGCGTTCATATAATTTTTATTAATGCAAATGAAACTATTGTTTCAATTCAATTATTGTTTTATGATTTTCAGATGCAAGTTCTAGGATAATTGGGTGTGAAGTGACATCGGTGAGACTTGTGTCCAGCGGTTTATTTGACAATTCAGTTACTTTGATGATGAAACCAGCTGTGGACAATGAAATTCTCGCTGCAAATATCATTTGTGGACTGTAATTGATGTACCTGTTTATTGGTACGTGCCATTAAACAGAACCTTTTAAAACACAGGGCAATTTACGAATGAATATCTATAGTCTACACTTTTTCTTCTTCTCACGAAAGATTTCACTTGGGAAATTAAATTGTTTATGTGAATTTATTTATTATGATTGCAGGACTGGATTGGCCAAATTCTCAGAGCGAAAAAACGTTGTACCTTTGTAGGAAATACTAGATTATATCGTTTTTCATGCGACTTCACCTGATTTTTTTGACTGCAGGTTTTGTGGGTAATACATGAATGAAATAACTCTCAGTACAAAATCTCATGTATTAAGTTTCATTAAAGAAGTGAAAAATAGTATTTAAAATTGCAAAAATGTCACATAAAACTGAAATTTAATTTATCAAAGCTCCTGTTATTTTTAATTTGATAATTTTTAACAATTCTCATTACATATGGTAACGAATAAAAAAAACCGCAAAATTCAAAAACGCGTGTGTTCTGTCAGGGATATTTTTTACCGACTATCGGAGAATTCACCCCCAACTGCTGCCGCCTCTATCGTCGAGCTTTTCAAGTAAGAGTCCAAGGTCATTTCAAGTTCGTCGCATTAAAAATTCACCTGTAATCCACCCCCTTGGCATACGCACAAATTAAATAAAGACATGTAGTCCCTGACGTATCCAAATTATTCACAAATCTTCCAACTTTCATGCGTCACTACCGAGAAAATTTAATCAAGGAATTTCGACATGACTCGACAAACTCACTCCACAAATTTTCCTCATTTGGGGCACGAAGCGAGAAAAATCGGAGCACGTTTTCGTCCAAGGAACAGTTACGTTTCCGGAAGAGGAAAGGTTCCCCGGGTGTCGCGCATGAGAAGTATGAAGCCTCTATAGTCATGAGCGTGATAAGAATCGTGATATCAGTCATACAGAATAAATATGGACTACAATACATCCACAAGTTCCACGAAAAGTGATTAATTAAAAAAATTTCCACAAGATTAATCCCAATAACTTAAACAAATTTCTCTCCCGCAGTATAAATAACCAGCGCAGAAAACTGACAGATAAATAAAAATAGAATGATTTTAGGTCAGATATGGCAGTATGAGAGCATCAGTTTCTATTTTCAACACTGGGTTAAACTTTCCGCTCCATGGAGTGGCCCAAGTGTCATAAATATTCTGGAAACAAGGAAAATTGTTAAGAAAAGTGGGGAGCGAGTACAATGAACGGATAAATTGACCCGATTCAAAATGGCAAACGACTCCAAGACATGTTACCCATTCACTCGTTGAATTCCCATCAGCGATGAACAGAAACCGACACGCCTGGCATGGACTGATAATCATTTTATCAGGTACAATCAACACCACTTCCCCCAGCATACTGACACTTTGACAGTATATCGGAATACCCTATGGTTTTTCACGTGTGTTCCCTCATTTTCCAACCGGTCGTTAGCCACTGGAGAACATACGATCCAAAAGATAATCATAATCCCCTGATGTCACGCGATCGCTTATTCATTTTTCCATTGATATTTACCATTGTCCAGTTGTATTCCCGTCGGAGATGATTGCCTCCTGGAGTATTCGTCGTCTAATCTACTCCCAGAATTTCTTCGAACACGAAAATGTTCTTATCAATCCGAAAAGCCCGCCTCCATCTTTATATTCTGCGAGTTAATGACTTTGTAAATCGAAAAATTATCTCGCTATTGAGTAATCAAATTCGAATAAAATGTAGGGGGTGAATAATTAAGGTGGAGATGGCCTTGGATTAAGATTTGGATCTAGATTGATGGTTGAATTTTTTAATAGATTACATATCCAGGGAAATTTCACTCACTGATTTATCGTTTCGAAATTAATGCGGCCATCACCGACTGCAGTGAGTTCCGCTAAACGAGTAATCCCCCCAAAATCAAATATTTACTGACCGTACAAATTTATTCATCATTACCTCGCACCCCACCCATTGATAAACAACTCGATTACTTTCATTACTGATTAATACCTCTAATGCGGGCATAATGGAACTTTTGTAATGAACACAAGCCAGATCTCAATGAAGTAATAATGCTACGCAGATGCCGAGTTGTAATCACCAAGAGTCATCAACGTGCAGCCTAACGGAAATTTTCCCAACTCTCGAAAACTTGCAGATTGTTTCAAACAAAATCCAATGCGAGAGGGAGGAAAACCAATTCGCAGAAACTACCAACGAATTTACTGAGCTACAAACAAATTCAGACATTCAATTAAAGATACCGTTGCAGAGACAAAGAGGGTGGAAAAACTTTCAAGGGAAAACCGTTGTCACGGATATCGAGCGTGATAACTCGAAAGGAAAACAAAGCCAACTTGAAATAGCAGCAACTTGTCTGAAGGCGCACACAAACACCTGAGTCTCTCTTCTGAGGTAGAATTTCCTCTGACTTTTTACGAGTAGCTCCCTAGATTTTACCCACTTCTAAACCAATCCGCCGGGTAATTGTGCCGCAAAACGATACCTCCCCCGTAAACCTTTTAATTTCAATTAATTTATTTCCCCCATTTCTCTCCACCCGCATGCCCTCACTTATTGAAAATCCATTAAGGTCTTCAAAAAACGATTGGAATTCCGTGGACCTTAATCAATCAATTATTTACCTCCGATACTTATTCAGGCTTATTTTATACATATTCAATAATTTAAATGAGTAAAAATGAATAATATATCCATAAATATGTATACAAATATTTTTAATGATTTAAAAAAATTAAATTTTATTGATTGATTATACTATATTCACCGAAAATGCTGTTGTTTATGAAATCGATACAAATTAGAAATTGTCGACAAGTTTACAGTCTCCTGCAAATATAGTTATTAAAATGTACACGTAATTTTCTCATAATCCACCGGAAATGTCGCTCATTAAAAAATTTCCGGTGCATGATTACAAAAATATCGACATGGTGATAACCCCGAGGAGCGCATGTCCCATAAAATTTTTATTCCCTCAATTAATAGAATAAGTTGCACAACAGAACAATACATCCCCCGCGATAATCGATTGAATTTCATAGGATGTATTTTTATATTTTTTAACCGACATCTGCGTCACTCTTCGTCGTGACTCCCATCCCGCAGTTATTGAAAGTATATCGTGGTAGAACCTCGACATTGAAATAGCCATAAAACTTTTATTTACGATACGAGTGCAGTTGAGAGAAGCGGTAAATAGAAGTGAGATGAAAGTGCGATGGAAATTTAGATAGAGTTGGATATTTTCGTCACGAAACGATAAACCCCGATCATGCGGGACGAGTCGCTGTAAATCGATCCTAATGTTCGAACTAACCCGCTGTGGGTTATAGCTTTTCTCTCTCTCAGTATCAAGTGAATAGTCCAGTTACTGTACAGAGGTATTTCACTCCAATATCAAAAGGGCGATATTATGTAAATCCATTGCACGCTCGTTTTCACACGAAATCATGCGACTAAAACTCCTGGGTAACGCGTTACACGCATTTTAACGCACACAAGCTAACATTCGAGTAATATTCAAGCTGGGGTGTGGCCTCAGGGCTTAAGTGGATCACCGGAGTTACTTTTATCGTTGCGATAACAGTACGGGTGTAAATCACGTGACTATGCTATTGTATATGGGGGGTATGTGGCACATGTAGAGTTACACGCGGCGATTGCCGTTTCAACAGTTATGCATACTAGTTACTCACCCCCGTACCTCCATACCCACACATTTATTCTCACTTCATTAACATAAACAACTTGGGCTGATCTAGCGAATTTTTTTATAAAAATACCCATTTTTCATTTCAAATTAATCTGTCAATTACTTCGGTATTATATATCTTTGGTCAAGTTACGATCCCGAGAATTTCTCACGAAATTATTAATAGGAGACGAGTGCGGGCACAAATAATTCAAATGAATACGAAATTAAATGATTTACTCTTCTTTTTGCGAAAATTCCATTTTTTTGTAAAATTCCAAAAAAAACACATGTATTTTTTAAACACATTATTTTTCGACGCTTGATGACACTAAATAATTTCAGGCAAAATGAAAAAGTTCAAAAAGTAAAGAATTATAAAACTGGGATTCGGAAATAAAAAAAGGACAATATAATTGGGATCGAGGGTGATAATCTCCGATTTAAAAAGCTGTTCGGAACCCTGAATATTTTAGGTAAAGTTTTATTGTGAAATAGCAGGGGCTCGAAGAAATCTCAGGTGTAGGCTGTCTAGACGCGTCGTGGATATCGATCAGTACATGTCGATGGAGGCCAAAGAGACAGAGAGAGATAAAGTGAGAGAGAAATTTAACGCACGTGGAAATGTATCGAGGGGTGGGTCTCTCCGCAACTCCAGAGTTGTCCTTTTTACCTCACCTGCTAGCACTCCCAACTCACAACTACACATCACTCCTCTATACTCCAGCACATCAGATAATTCTGTGTAAGGAGACTGTCAGAGCACTCGAGCTAATTCGATTCGAAGGGTGAAATTTAATTGACAGAGTGTATACTGTTTCATCATTGACCCGAATACCCAACGGTGAGTTAAATTTCTCAATTTCCGCTTCTCACGATTGATGCACACTTTCAACAACTTCATAAACATTTGCGTATAAACTCACAACTTGGGTTTTAGAAGGACTGAATGATATTGCCACAGCAAAAGTTTATCCCCGATTCCATAAATGGAATTTCAACTGTCTATCTGGTTCCGCCAGGACGCGGAAATGAGAAAAATAATCTAGAAGGATAGGTACAACCAGAGAACAATTTTTGCTGTCGGGGTCAATCCACTCGTGATGATTCAAGGGGATTCTTTCGTGAATACACTTTCGTGAAATCCAGTTTGATTCGTGGATAACTTATGGGAACGGCAAACAGGTGGCTGCAACCAGCTGACAACATAACACCAGCCCCTGATGAGATCTGAAGAGTATAATGGAAGATTTTGAGGGGTTGGGTGCCTCTTCGAACCTCGTTTTCTCTTCAATCCCTCGGGAAAATTACTACTACCATCTTCCACTGGAGTAACGACTGTTTAAATTCTTTTTCTCAAGCTGTCATCTTCTCCGTCTGCCTGACGGATTTAAATCCAGCCTCGGTTTCGTTTATTCCCTTTCGCAATTGTCTTTATTCCGTTGCAGATGTTGGTTTTCGTTTGAAATTCTTACGCGATTACAAAGAAATTAGCGAGAGACAATCAGGATTGATGCCCGGAGAGGAAATCAATTTGAAGGCAATCGGGGCGGAATGGCACTCGTCATTACTTAAGGACTGTTGCTGCTCTGAATATCGATTACGAGCTCTAGTCGTGTGAATCCATAGCTAATCCTTTGTAAAGAGGACAAATGC